ACCTTATGAACCAGGTGATCAGGGACAAACAGCAGGGCATCAGGGCATTCCCTGGGTGGAGGGTGGAACTGGTGGGCCTCCCTGACCTCCTGCTCAATCTGAGTAACCACCAGTCGAACCTTTTCCYGTAGAATGAACCCTTCTTGACTACTGGCCTGTTCAGTCGATGACTCATGGATCCTAGAGAGAGTGTCTGGTTTATTGTTCTTGACTCCAGGTCTGAAAGATAAGGAGAAGTTAAAGCGACAGCAAAGCAGAGCCCACCTGGCCTGTTGTGGGTTGAGTCTCTTAGRAGACTTGAGATACTCAAGATTCTTATGGTCAGTGAGGACAAGAAATGGTTCTTTGGCCCCCTCCAACCAKTGTCTCCACTCATCCAGAGCCAGCTTGACTGCCAACAACTCCCTATCGCCTACATCATAGTTTCTTTCAGCAGGTGAGAGGCTCTTAAAGAAAAAGGCACAGGGGTGGATCTWGTTGTCCTGGAACCATTGGCTGAGGATGGCTCCAACCCCAGTACGTATCTGAGGCATCAACTTCAACGATAAATTGTTTCTCAGGGTCTGGAAAACGAAGGATGGGGGCAGAGGTAAACTTAGACTTAAGTTTGGTAAAGGCCCTCTCAGTAGCCTCATTCCATTAGAACTTGTTCTTAGATGAGGTGAGAGCATGAAGAGGAGCACTGACAAAACTAAAGTTACGGATGAACTTACGATAAAAATTGTCAAAGCCGAGGAACCTTTGAAGTGGCTTTCTGTCAGAAGGTGTGGGCCAGTCTGTAACAACTGAGACTTTAATAGGGTCCATAGAGATTTGACCTGAAGAAATGTTAAAGCCCAAAAATGAAGTGGAAGTCTGATGGAACTCGCATTTCTCTGCTTTGARGAATAGGTTGTTCTGTAGTAGTCTTAACAGAACAGGCCGTACATGTTTGCGATGGCTAAGAGCYTCCTTGGAAAATATCAGGATATCATCTAGATAGACAAATACATTTATGTTAATCATATCCCTCAAAACATCATTCACCAGGGCTTGAAAAACAGCAGGGGCATTGGTGAGGCCAAAAGGCATGCCAAGGGACTTGTAATGACCACTGGGAGTATTGAAAGCCGTCTTCCATTCGTCACCCCCTCTGATACAGACTAGACGATAATTATTTCTTYAATCAAGTTTAGTAWAGATAGTAGCTCCCTGAATAATATCAAATGCGGAGTTCATGAGGGGTAAAGGATATTTATTTTTGATTGTAATATTATTTAACCCCCTATAGTCAATGCAAGGTCTCAAGGAACCATCCTTATTGCCAACAAAGAAAAACCCTGCTCTAGCAGGAGATGAAGAGGGACGAATAATACCATTCTGAAGTGACTTAGTAATGTAATCAGTCATGGCTTGATTCTCAGGACCAGACAGAGAGTAAAGTCTGCCCCTGGGAGGCATAATACCAGGCAACAAATCAATGGGACAATCATATGGTCTATGAGYTGGTAAGGAGGAGGCCTTAGCCTTATTAAAAACCTCCTTCAAATCATGGTATTCAGATGGAACCTTTGACAAGTCAGGATAAATCTCCTTTATTGTTGATTTTGTGTCACGATTAACAGATTCGAACAAACATCTAGACATACAATCCTTGGACCAACCTAGGATTTCATTATTTTACCAGTCTACATAGGGATTATGAAGKTTCAACCAGGTAGCCCCTAGGACCACAGGTAACTGAGGGGAATGAATTACCAGGAATTTAARGATCTCATGATGATTACCACCCAGGGATAGACACATGGGTTCAGTCTCTTGGCAAGAGGAGGTTAGTGMGTGTCCATCCAGGGCAATGACCTGATGGTCATTAGGGGAAGAGTTCAGCTGAAGGCCCAGAGACAAAGCATAGTCAGCATCAATAAATTCAGTATCAGCCCCAGAATCAATAAAAACCGTAAATGGTGGATCTTACCCCCAACCGAGACTTCGGCTGGAACCAGAGGAACCAAGGTCTTGGTGATGGTGTGACTTAGCAAGTYTTTCCTCTTCTCTGCTGAGTCAGGCCTTAAGGGACAGATTAACTTGATGACCCTGCTCACCACAGTAGAAACAGAGTCCCTTCATCCTTCTTCTTTGCCTCTCCTGTAAATCCAGCCTAGATCTTCCAATCTGCATGGGTTCCTCTGATGTGACATTGGACTGAGGAACATGGACGGGATCTGGTGAACTAGAAGTCCAGTTAGAAACAACAAGTCTCCTTTTACCGCTCGTGTCTCGCCTCCTCTCAAACAGACGCAGATCYATGCGAGTGGCCAAGTCCTCCAGATGTGTAAAAGAGAGTGGTGGATCCCGTGTTGCCAATTCATTTTTAATCTCCTCATTGAGCCCCTGAAAAAAACATCTTGCAATGCCTCCTCATTCCATTGACTGTCCATCGCCAGGGTGTGAAAATCAATAATGTAATGAGGAACTCTTCTATTGCCTTGAGAGACGTTTAACAGACCTCGAGTAGCCTCCTTATGAGGAAGAATAGGGCTAAACACACGMGTAAGTTCTGCAGCAAAGTCCTTAAAGCTGCTGTATGTAGTTTCTTGAAAACCCAAAAACTTAGAAAAATTTTGAACAGATACAACCTTGTAGTCCCTCCCCCGGCTCTCAGCACCCCTTCCTAAGCTCCTCCCCCACAGCAGGGCCCAGAGTCGGGAGCACGCAGGCTTGTAAACCGGAGGTGAGCCATCGTAACACAGAGCTCAGAGCRAAGCTGCCGTCACAGGTAAGAACAAACCATCAACAATATATTTTTAACTATCATGTCTTGCCTGTACTTTATCAACACAAGTGCTCCTTTTGTCATAACGTTACATGTAAATTATGTTGCWCTCTTTCTATAAGTTATAAATAGCTATCAAGCTAACACAACACCGATGCTGCGCAGTGGTTCTGAATTCTGTTCCTCATGACCCACTATCCTGCATGTTTTAGCTATTTCCCTGCTTTGGAACACATGATTTAAATCAGGGGTGTCAAACTCCAGTCCTCGAGGGCCGCTATCCTGCATGTTTTAGCTATTTCCC